ATCAACTTTTAAAACTTGTAATACAATCCTCCAACATTTAGTCCGTTTGTAATATGGTCCCCCATGTAACCGACCGTTTGACGTTGTTACACTACCGTTAGTACGTTTACAATATGGTCACTGAACTTTTCATATGCTTGCATTTAGGTCCCCCAACTTTTAAAACTTACAACACAACCTTTAAAGTATCGGAGGGATTTCGGATCTATATTGTTGCCTTGTAGTCCAATTTGTACCGTTTGAAATCTCCATGCTGTTAAATTTTATACTATACCAATGGAAAGAACCATTATTAACAAATCTCACTAAAGTCTAACATTGATGTCACAAAACTTTTAGCCGGCGAATTTATTAGAATAACGTAGTGGAAAATGATTGTTCATATGTAATCATGGGCCACTAAGATAAATGTTATAGTGTTAAATTAAAGTCGTGTGAATCATTTAATATCTTTAAAAGATCGATTGAAATATCTGATATCTTTAAACATTTCATCACTGCTAATTAGCTCTTACGCTATTTATCACTGTAGATTTGGTTGATTTGCATTGTCGACTATTTTTCATAAAAGAACAATAGAAGGTAGGGTCTCCAACGTTTATGTTCATGTTCATTTATGTTCGTGTTCTTTTATGTTTGTGTTCGCTTATGTTCGATTATTTATTAAATGAACGAACATGAACAAGCTATATTCTTTAATGAACGAACATGAACAAAAAAAAATTGTTCGTTTATGTTCGTGTTCGTTTATGTTTGTTTATTTATTAAATAAATGAACATGAACATACATCCGTTCGTGTGCGTTCGGTTCGTTTACAAGCCTAATTAGATTGGAATTAATGTGAAAGTGATGAAATATGATGAATGATATGGATTTAATTTGAATATTAAAGAATTATTTTGGACATTTTCGAAATGTTAGGTTATATTTTAAAGAAAAGTTTATTCGTAGCTAAATGTGAAATGTTGAAAAGCTATATAAATTATTGTGAGAACTAACTATTTAAAGGACTTGGATGGTTAATTTAATAAAGCTAAATTTGTTATGAATTTTGTGAAAGAAATAAATATTGAATATACATTAATGATATTGTAAATATATTTATATGAATATGAATATGAATTTATTATGTTAGTTAAATATATTAATACATGAATGAAATAGTATATGAATGTGATAATTTTTTTCTATGAATATTATTATATATGAAAAAATTATAAGATTTAAATAATGCCCGATGTATAAGGCTTGAGAGTCATTGATACATTTTGTATCTGTTTTTGTATATTCGTGTACATCTGTTATGCACTATATGTGCATTTTGGCACTTTATGTACAATCTAGCACTATGTGTGAATTATCCGACACTATATGTGCATTATGAGTTTCACGATGTTTTGACGTTGTGAGATACTATATCTGATTCTGATTCAATATAGTGATGTTGTGTTCTATAGTACCAATACTTTTGTTTAGCACTAAATGTTTTATATGTTACATACAATATTTATACTGCATACAGGGCACAAAATGTGTCAGACCGCTACTGGCAGTGTTATGTTGCATACAGGACACCTATGGTGTATATAGGACAATAAATGTGCCATATTTATCTGGTAGTTATACTGCATAATGTGCAGAAAACTCGTTTTCTGACTCGTGTATCATTTATTCCCATGATTGTACATTGGGCTATAAAAATGAATATAGAATAAATAATACAGTAAAAGAAACAAAAAAAGGTACAGAAAAAGGGATAGTAAAAGAAGAAAGGACAATACTAGTTGATTAATATGTTTTATAGTAGAATTTTATAATGTAAAAATTTATTTAACACTGAATGGTTTATAAATGAAAAGTTAAATTATAAAGTTATGTGTATATGAAATGATCTAGATAAATCTTATTTAATTGATTAAATGGTTTATACTATGATTTTATATGATATTTTGTATTAAAATATATGTGTTACATAATATTATTATGCGATTTGAAAAGTATAATTTAAATGGATTGAGTCTGAATATGTATATATATGTGTGTGAATGGTGTTATACATGTGAAAGAAAACGGTTGTTATAAGTTTCCTTTACATGCCTATTACATAAAATATTTGATTTTGATGTTTTTATATTTTTATGAGATTTTTTATTAATTAATATATTCCATAATTATATAATGATTGCTCAATTTAAATTGTGAATAGATTAAGGACAAACCATATGTACTTAACTTAAGAAAATTTATGTGTCTAAGTGGAACTATGATAATAGTCATTGGCAGTGAGTGGTTGTTTGGCGATAGATAATAACCATAAAGGAGATGTTTCAACAAATTAATTATAGATATTACAAATGTTATATATACATGGTGATATAAAAGTATATAATAAGAGTTGTGCTAAAATCGTAGAGTAATATAATATGAGAAATCACAATAAAGAAAGAAAAAAATATGATAAGTGGTTAAATGGTTATGTATGATTAATAATAAATTATGTTATAAAAATTTATTGGTGTCTTTTTAAAACTAGGTAGCTTTAATTGTAATATGAAGTAATATAGACATGCCCAATTGCTAAATGAAACTGAATGTGAAATGAAAATTAAATATCTCTTTACGAATGTATGTAATTAAATAGTTTAATAATAAATATTAAAATTGTTAATTTTAAAAAAAAGTAAAATTTTCACTAGTTCCAAGTAGGAAATGTTAAATAACTACAATGTTCGATTATAATAATGATATTTCTTGTTTCTTTTCGAAAAAGGAAAAATCGTCGTTCTACCTTATATTAGATGGTATTTTCACATGGTTCGAAATGCTGAAACATCGACAATTTAATTTCAAATTCATGAAAAGGGATATTTGTAATTCATCGACTTAGTTGGAAAAGGAAGGGATGCCTCTTACCTTATATTATGTGGTTAACTCTCTCCAGTTAAGTGCAAAGAGTTGTTGACTTTTCTCTCTAGAATTTTAATAAGTTAAATAACATTGTATTTATTTAACTAAAAAAGGGATCATTAATTAAATTAAAATTGAATTCTTAATTTTTCATTGCAAAGACAATAATTAATCGACTACGTACCGATTTCTGGGTCTTGTGGGGGTACTAACCATTCCCCACATGTAATCGACTCCCAAACTCATTTTTCTGGAAAAGTAGACCAAAAAATTATTTTAATAATAATTTTTTAAAAATTGAATTTTATTAAAATGAAAAAATATTTTTTGGGTGATTCAATCACACCTTAAACAGAGATTGGTGGCGACTTTCTCGAACCATATTTTTTTAATTTTAAAGGAAAACCCAATTTTAGTCAAAACGAACCCCTAATTTTTTTATTTTATTTTGCAAGATGTTAAGACAGCTTGGTGACTCCGCGTGTGACTTTTAGAGAGTCAGACCATTAGTTGATTAATTTTTGTCTTTACAATAGAAGCTATGAATTCATCTTTATTTAATTCTTGATGCATTGTTTGTGTGTTTGCATTTATTTTAACCACCTATTTGTATTTCGCATGTGTACTCTTGTAATTGTTTATACTGATGTGTGTATTCATGAATTTTCAGAACCTTAGATTTTAAGGATTGATTATGAGAACTATGTTTAGTTTATGTGTGTCAAAGGTTTGTAGGTTTCTCCTCACTCACTGCAACGCATTTGCATAACATAAGCCTTATACTTGGGTTGTCTCTTTTAAATAAGGGTGAAAGCGATGCCTTCGCGAGATATGTTTCTTTGTGTCAGGCCTAGCAAGTAACCTTTGGGGTCTACACCCTATGTCTTCGTGAGATATGTTTCTCCGTGTCAGGCATAGAGAGGTGCATCCTCTCAAATTTAACTTGATCCATATGAACCTGTAATGGGTTTAGGATAAAGGGTTTTGCTAGCCCAATGGGGCATCAGTAAGGATAATTCGAGTACCTTTATCTTTAGAGCCGAAACCATGCATGTAGTGAACCTTATAAATCCCATCCAGTTTGAAACCATTAAAAAACCCTAGATGTTATCCAAATAGGTGTACACAAGGGAGAAATCAACTTAAAACCTTTACTTATTCGCTTTATTTTTACTAGAAAAATTATGTGAATAAAAAGTTATGCGATTAAGGTTTATTGACAAAGCATGGGGTAGAAATCATGTGTAGATAGGATCTACTTTTACCATGTCAGATAGGTAACATGTGGAGTAAGTTTTATTTTTTGACAACAATTCTTACTATGTTTTATTGGTATTGACCTTTTTTGTATTCTTTTGTTTTTCTTTCTTACTTGTATTTTGTATTTTAATCACATGATACAAAAGTGTTAACTCGTAAGTGATTGACTAAATTAGAAGGTTTTCATGATAAAGCAAGGGTTTCTCAACCGGGTAGTCAAATTTAAGATGTCCGAAAATACTTCGAAGATCCATGAAGAAAGGCAACTAACGAAGGAGATGAAATCGTGGGCAATAAAATAAATTATATTAAGAATAAGAAAACTCTTCACAAATACATGAATATATTTTCCCTTGGAAATCTCATAGAAGTGTAGATCTCAAGATTTCGACGACTATAGTAAACAAGTCACGCCATCCATTCTAAAAGGTTTAACATTAAGTTTAAAGCAGCATTGATTTCAAGTTCAGCATCAGACCAAAAAAAGAAGCTAGCAGGACGAGATTAAGAATTTGACTGTTTGGTTTAATGAAACATTTAGGTTGTTCTATAGTGGTCACTTTTTCGAGTTAGCACTTTTTTCATTATACATTTTCATCTTTGCATTTTTTTATTTAAATTGCATTTATTTTTACATGCATTAAATCATAGAATCATTTAATTATTCGTGGGAAATTTCATGCCAGTAATTCTAATCACGCGACATCACTCATACGATACTTAAAATGGAAGCAAGACTAGCTCAGTTAGAGGAGAGATTGTTGAAGCTAAACAAGAGATGAACCAAAGTCAGAAGACTACTTTGGATTCCATCACACAAGGCTAAGCTTCTATGGTCGACCAAATAGTGGAGAGGTTGTCTGGACTAAATTTTACGAATATCCCAGGGGCAGAGATTTCTGAAGGTGCAATGGTGCAACCCACTTCAAAGCTGGTCATCACACCTAGGTATTTACAAGGATACATAGAGGGTCCTTTGGCCACCAAGGTGCAAGCTACAATAACGGATCCTCAAAACAACCTTGAAGAGTATTGCATCCCAAAATTTGATGAGGAAGATAAAACTAACAGGTTTGAGCATAAAATAAAACAGTTGGAAGACCAAATGAAGACTGTGAAAGGAGAAGACAATCTTTATGAGTTACATGCCTCAGATTTGAGTTTAGTCTCATACTTGATTTTGTCCCCGAAGTTTAATTTCCCATATTTCAAGAAAATTGATGGAAATAGTTACCCTTTAGCTCACATAACTATGTTCTACTAGAAGATGATAGGATATCTAGGGAATGATCAATTATTGATCCATTGTCTCAAATGTATACATGAATTCATGGAACCGATGTACATGATCACCAAACCAACAAATCCCTCGATAAAAGAAACCATTCTTACCCTTACCATTAGTCTTGACACTTGTAAGAGAATTATAACTTTGAAATATTAGAAAAGCATTTGATTCTTTTGATATTTATTGAACTCATGTTTTGTAATTTACTTTAATTGTGAGCATAAAAGAAGGGGCATTATTTTATTTCTTCAAAATTTCATCATTTTGAAAAATAAAAGAAGAAGAAAACCATTTTCAAACAAGATAATATCTTTGGGGAATGTATCTTGGAAACTGACAAAGCTCTCTCGAACAAGCTCAGAATCAATGTTGGGGCAAAGGAATTGAATCCTGGGGGTAAGAGTTTATTGGGTCATGAATAAATAAATTTTGCAAGCTAAGAATTATGAAGATAAACTCGAGTGAGAGAATAATGAGGAAGATTGAAGAATTCAAGAATGAAGACTTCCCACACACCTCTGCATCATTATCATTGAAGCATGCACTTGCATTATTACACATGTGTCTTTGCATCAATCATTCATCACTACATGCATTTGATGATTTCCTACATTTTAGGCATGCTTAAGAGCATTGCATTCATGGATTTACACGCAAGTGTATGATTTTGCAGATTTTTTCGAGTCAAATTTCAACTTCACGACAAAGGATATTTAGGTTCGAAAGAAAATTCAAAAGAATCATCTACAATCTAGCTTAACTCAACAAAGAGTAGTTTTTTTCCAGTCAAGGTTTTTGAAGACCAATTTTAACTTCACAACGAAGGATATTGGGTTTGAAAGCAATTTTAAAATCGACTTAACTCGGAATGAAGGAGTCGTTTGCAATCTAGCTTAACTCAACAACGAGGAGATCTTTTCCAGACAAGATTTTCGAGTCAAATTTTAACTTCATGACGAAGGATATTTGGGTTCGAAAGCAAATTCAAAAGAACCATATGCAAACTAGCTTAACTCCACGGCGAGGAGTTATTTTCTATTCAATTTTTTTTAAATGGATTTTAACTTCACAATGAAGGATATTGGGTTCAGAAGTAATTTTAGAATTGACTTAACTCACAATGGAGAAGTCGTCTGCAATCTAGCTTAACTCAACTACAAGGAGCTATTTTCCAATCAAAGTTCTCGAGTCAAATTTTAACTTTACGATGAATGATATTAGACTCACCAAAATTCAACTTATCCTGCAAATGGGAGTCGTCCACAACTTGACTTAAATCTCAAAGGAGGATACAACCTCAACTTCACCTCATCGAGCATAGGAATCAATCATCTTTACTAACCAATTACTATGTTGACTTTTGCAGATTCAACTACTTTGAGACCAAGACAAACTAGACGAATATTTTCAAACCCATCTACTTGATGATATAGAAAACTCTTCGGAATAGACTCAAAAGGCCCAATCATTTTTGAAGATGCATAAAAGTGAAGATCATATCAACTGCAGGTTCAAGGAAAGCGACAACACAATGGAATGAAGCTCTATAAATCGAACAAAAATCGGCTATTTTTTTATCTTTGCCCTATTCGTGTTACACACCAATGAGCAAAGAGGGGCAGCTGTAATATCCGATTTTTTTCTTGTCTACTTTTTTCCAAAGCCGAAACATTTTTATTAAAGTTGATTTTGAAGCACAATACATCAGCCAACTTGCAACAATTTTTCGAACAAGATTCAAACATTTTTAAGGCATGATATCTTCTTGAAATTGAATCGTGTTTTAGTTAGTTTTCCAATGCATTTTGAAATGTCTCAATCGGACATTAAGAACTCAAGATATGTTTATTTTAGTGAAGATAACGTATGCAAAAAATTGGATACGGTCCAATACGAGGATTTTAATTTATTACAAATTTTCGATTATTTTATTGAATATTTGTAATTAAATTCAACTTTATAATTTTCATAATTTATTTAGGGTAATTTAGGATCTTTTTATTATTTTAGGATATTTCCTTTTAATTGATGTATCTAGCATTAATGAAAAGATGCTAGAGTTTTCTATTGTAGGGTTTTTAGGAGCCTATAAATAGACACCCATCTTATATAAAGAGAGACACATTTTTTTGAGAGAAGATGAGGCATTTATTTTTTGGAAAAAAAAGAGAGAGGAGAGTTACCCTAAGAATTGTAATTTAAAGAATTCAAACAATAAAAGAGATATTTTTTCCAAATATTTTTTTCTTTGTTTAGTTTTATTCTATTTTTAGTTTTATTTTTTTATTCGGTCGATTTCAACTTTTTTTTTAGCAATAAAAGAAATTTTTGTTAAAAATTTGAGACAAAATTTTTTGTACCATTAATTTTATTTTTATATTACATATAACATTTACAAATTAATTTTTCTTTACACCTTTTCTTTCTGATGTTTACATTATATATACATATATTATATCTTTATATTTATTTATATTAATAATGTCAAGAGTATTTTTTTAAAAAAAATTAATGACAAAATATTTTTGAATGATCTAATCACATCTTAAATAAAAATTGGTGATGACTCTCTTGAACCATAATTTTTAATTTGAAAGGTAAACTCAATTTTAATCAAAACAAACCCCCTAAAATTAATTATTTTATTTTTTGGTACATTGTTGTTCCCAAGGGTTGGTGTAAGTTTTGCCCAAGTTGGACAGGTGCTCACAATAAAATATGAATTTATTTATATTATATGTTCATTATATTAAAGATGCACATTGTAAAATTTTATTCGTGTTCATTACATACAAAAAAATTATATTATTATTATATATGTGTTTATCCTCAAAATTATTTCTGGATCCGTGACTGCTTGTCCCTTGTCTCTTGTTTCCCTTCCATCCCCTCGTCGATTCCGAAGGCATCGCTTCCGAAGGCATCGCTTCCTCCGGCGCTTTTTGACTCCAAGAGTTTCTTAGTAAAGATTTTCTCGGAAAATGGTGCATGCAGGAAGCGTTCCGATGGTGTTTTGATGAATTCCTTTGAAGGGCTCGAAAAAGAAACACTGGACATGCTTTCAACAAAAGGGTTGCCCCCAGTTTTTCCCCTTGGACCTCTTCTGCCATTGGAATTCGTGGGGGGATCTTCTTTTGCTCCATTGGAGTGGCTGGAGAACCAAAGGGAAATCTCCGTTGTTTATGTCAGCTTTGGGAGTAGGACACCGATGTGCAAAGAACAAATAAGGGAGCTTGGAAATGGGCTGGTTTTGAGTGGATACAAGTTCTTGTGGGCGGTGAAGAGTAAAGTTGTTGACAAAGAAGAAAAAAGTGGCGATTTAGATGAGATTATAGGACACCAAGTGATGAACAAGGTCAAGAACAAAAATGGGTTTGTTTTCAATTAATGGGTGGATCAATGGCAGATACCGAGTCACAAACCAGTTGCCGGGTTCGTGAGCCATTGTGGATCTCAGAGGTGGAGGCAGCTTGGAATGGGATCCCAGTGCTTGGTTGGCCTCAACACGGAGACCAAATGATCAATGGGGAGATGATAAAGGCAGCTGGGTGGGGGATTTGCATGTAGAACTGGGGATGGGATTGAATAATAATCATTTGGTGAAAGGAGAGGAGATTGGGGACAAAATCAAGGAGCTGATGGAAAATCAAATGGTGAGAACGGAAGCTGCAAGAATCAGTGAATAGGCCAAGAAAAGTTCAGAGTCCGGTGGGAGTTGTGGTAACATGATTAAGCTTTTCCAGAGCTTGAAGAAGAATTAAACAAATGAATTGTGAAGTATCAGTTAATTAAGAAATTTTCTGTTTTACTTTTGCTGAATGAAATGTCTTTCCTTCCATTTAGGCATGTAAACGAACAGAACGCATACGAACGGAGGTATGTTCATGTTCGTTCATTTAATAAAAAAACGAACATAAACGAACACGAACATAAACGAACAATTTTTTTTTGTTTATGTTCGTTCATTAAGGAATATAGCTTGTTTATGTTCGTTCATTTAAATAATAAACGAACATAAACGAACACGAACGAACGAACACAATAAACGAACAACACAAACACAAAAAAAAAACTTATTCGAACACAACAAACGAATGTAAAAAAAGTAAACAACAAGAATAATAACTTAAAATTCATTAATATAACCTGCAACTTTAGAGTTAATTTGTTCAAATACGACAAAAACATACATAAATCATAAATAAGTTATATGAACATAATAAATTCTTAAAGTTAATTTGTTCAACAAAACAATCTTCTTGAAATCCAAACAACTTCAATAATCTTCGTAACATATTCAACTTGCCCTCTGTTCAAACATAAATGAACATAAATGAACGAACATAAACGAATATATAATCGAGCGTTCACGAACGTAAATGAACGAACAAGTCCTTTGTTCATGTTCGTTCATTTAATTAAACGAAAAATCTTGTTCATGTTCGTTCATTTAATAAATAAACGAACATAAACAAACTTCCCGTCGCACTGTTCATGAACGATTCGCTGAACGTTCAGTTCATTTACAGGGCTACTTCCATTGAACTTTGAATGTGTGTTATACAAATGTGGAAATTTCCAGGAATTTATATGCGTTCTGTTTAGAGGTGTATTATTATATGTACACTTATTGTTAAAAATTTATTATATTTATACATATAATGTTAAGTATATTTAGCCGGTTGATCAAGTGATATTTTTTCCGACTTATATTCCTTTAAGTCATTGATTTGAGACTCACTAGGAGCATTTCACTTTTTTTTCTAGAGTCCCAATTCCCCCACTTTAATAATGATTGATTTAGAATTTGTGAAAAAATATAATAAGGGTAAAGTATACCTATGAACCAACAATCAGTTGATTTATTAGAATAAGGTACTAGATTTTTTAAGTAAGGTCAGTAATTTGAATCCTGACGTTTACGAATTGAGCAAACTGGGTTGAGAGGGTTGCCTTGGCCTCTGTAGTATCCGATATGGATTAGTCTGTCAATGTATCGGATACCAGTGATTAATTCAAAACAATTATACCTATGCCTACTTAATTATTATTCCTTTTCATTTTGACCAATGGTCTTTTAATTTTATCAATTAGACCATTTAATTATTTAAATGATGCAATAACGCTAATATTTAACACAAGTATTGACATGTCAATTAAAAAAGTTAGTCTAATTACACATTTAGTCTTTATTATTTATATATTCTATTGATTTTGTTATAATTTTAAATTAATCTAATATATTTATTTTCCAATTATTTAACGAGACATATTACTGGTGACATATGACACGTATCACCATATGATATAAGGAAATAAATTGAAAGAAAAAAATTGCTAGAAGAGATCAAACTTGGGTATCTGATAAGGTAAGGCGTGCTCCTACCACTACACAATATATTCTTAGACTTGCATCATAATCTATTTATCTTATAGAAATATAAAATATAATTAGACTAATCTTTGGTTCTGGATAACACCACAATCACCAAAGCCTTCTTGCCATAATGTGATCACCGGAGCATGGAAACCTTCTTCTATGGTGAGTCGACTTCCAGGGTACGGTGTGCTCAAAAATATTATCATTGGAGGCTTGGAATGTGATAAAGGCGGTTCGAACTCTAGGGTAGAGGATCAGATCCGATTCTATAAGAAGTTCTGTGATAAGTTTAGAGTTAAGAATGGCGAAAACCTCGATTGCTACAACCAAAGGCCTTTCGGATATCGAGTCCTGGTGGACTCAATGTAGCTTTTGGCGCCAAATGACAGCAATAATAAACAATAGGTAAACTTCAAGAAGGAAAACTTAATTATGTTCAAAAAATCATTTTAATCACTGATGCTTCGATTTAATCAATTAAACTATTCAACTTTTTAAATGTTTCAGTTAGGTCTTTAGCCGTTAACATTATATAGATGATAACAACAGTTAATAAAATTGACATGATTCTACATTTGGTCCTCTATATTTAAACATTTTATCAATTTAGTATTTATTTTAATTCAATTAAATAAATTTAATATGCAATTACACAGTGACATGTGTCACTACATGATTAAATAAATTTACTTCTCACCCAATCAATGGGTGACACATGTCATCACCACCTCATTAAGTGAATTTGTTTTTTTTTTTTTAAAACAACACATCCCCTTCGAACTCTAACCTGGGTCACAAAGAAGGCTAATATACGCCTCAACCACTAGGCCAAGCTTCCACTTTAGTTGATGATTATAATAATTTTTATATAACCTATTATTGTTGAGGGCAGAAAAAAATTAAGAAAATGCGTCCTTAAAGACAATCGAACATTGGGTCATGACAACGAAATGGTGCACTTAATCCATCAAGCTAAAGCATATAATTAGAAATTTATATAATATTAATTATATATCCTTAATGTTATATAAGTCACATACATATTAGACACTTATTTTACAAAATTCCTTGTCATCCTTGGTATGTTAAGAAGTATGTAAGCATCATATTTTTATTTTTTAACAGCATTTATTTAATATTTCTATAATTTAAAATTTTATATTTTTAAGATTTAGAATTTAGCACTTTAGATACTTATTTTATATTTTAACATCCTTGATATACTTAATTTTATATAATTCTTCCTCATTATTTTCTATTTAATATTTTTAAAGATATTTTATAGTCTTTTTAAAACGATATTTGGAATAAAAGAAGATTAATGTTAGATTTGGTCTTTGCGCTTTTAATTAAATATATTCTACGATAGTTATAAAAAAAATTAATTCGATACATATATCCTTCATTAGATTGATTAAATATTAACAAAAAATAAGGATACATGTAACATGTTAACAAAAACAATTCAGGATATATAAATGATATGTATAGCTTTTCCTTTTATATGCTTCGGCTTGGTGAATAAGATGCACCATTTTAATCTCATGGCCTCAGGTTCAATTCCCTCCATGAACGCATTTTCTTAATTTTTTTTCTGCCCTCAATTATAATAGGTTATATAATAGTTGTTGTGATTCACAACTAAATTGGCAGCATTGCTCAGTGTTTGAGGCGCGCCTTATTCTTCCTGAGTTCAAATCCCTTGGGGTTGTTGTATTACTTCAATTTGTTTTCATTACTTAATGAGATGATGTGTCATCCTTGATTGAGTGAGAAATAAATTAATTATTAATTAATAAAATACTCTTTAATAATGTGGTGATATGTGTCTAATTAGATATTAAATTTATTTAATTAAATTAAAATAAAGATTAAATTAATACAATATTTAAAAATTGTATAAATATGTCAATTTTGTTAATTGCAACATCACCATTTCCATTAATGTTAACGTCTAATCTGATAAACTATTTTAAAAATTGGATAGTCTGATTGATTAAATCGAAACATCGGTGTTAAAAATGATTTTTGATCATAGTTAATTGGTCACCAGTGTAGTTTAACCTAAACGATAATCATGATTGATGCTTATTAGAATCGTGTTGCCTTGTGACATAGCGTTCTCTACTATATAATGTGAAATAGCCATGTTACCTTGAGACGAATCGTTCTCTTCTTAAATTATATGAAATGACTGTTTTTTAAAATATATTAATCACTTTGCTTTAGTTTTTTTTTATAAGTATAAATATCATCATAATTAAACATCTAAATAAATAGAAAAAATAATTACATATAAACAATCATCAATTTTCTTAATTCTATAAGATGATTTTTAATTCGGAGACAGAACAAAAGAGAAATAATCAATTCCTGTAGACAATATGAAAAATAACTAGTCAAGATAAATAGTCTTTTACTATTATTAATAATTAACAGGGTTTTTTTTCTCTATCCATCTTTTTAGTATCAATTGTCAGTTTTAGTTTTACTAAGACCGAAATCTTTGTTAATATTGGTGAAATTTGTCCTTCATTGCCCAGAATTTATGCTAATTTTGGAGTTTTTTCAAGTATGATATTGTTCATGTTGATTCTGATTGGTTAGGTAAATTTAGTTCGATGGCTAGAATGGTGGGGTATGATGCTTCTTATGGATGGTTGGTAGGGTGGGATATGATGTTTTGTTGTGTACGGAGCATCAATTTGGCATTGAGGGGCTACGGAAGGTTTACGGAAAAGTTGAATGTCATTTGAGTGGGAAATGTTACTCTGTACAACGATGTTTGCGTTTTATCTTTCTGAATTGTGAGGCCCTCTTAAGTTGTACTCTTTGATGATTAGTCGAGCTTTGGTGGTGGCAGAATCATGACATTCTCCTATAGGAGTATTTTTCTAACGTTTTCTTTTCGCTCAACAAAAGTTTTAATTTAATATTAAGAAAAGCAAAACACATTAACATGTGTTTGCAGAAAAGTTACGTGTAATCGCATAAACTAACCAAAGACAACAAAACAACTAGAAAATTAACGTAAAATGATACGAGTATTTTTCGGCATTGTTTTTAGTGTTAATCTGCTTAGTTAGTTTTGTACCTTCATATAACTATTTGTTTTCAATGGTTTATTATTATTATTATTTTTTTATCATTTTGATGTGCTATTATTGACAGAATTTTTAATTTTACGATCAAAGTAAAATCATCTCTATAATTTATTGAGTATACATGTAGTCTACTTTTATAGCCTACCATATATAATATATATTTGTTTACCACGTGATAATCATGATTGAATAAACTAACATGCAGATAAGGTAAAATAAAGATAGTGTTAGCCTGTCCTTATATTGAGTATACATGTAGTCTACTTTTATAGCCTACCATATATAATACATATTTGTTTACCACATGATAATCATGATTGAATAAACTAACATGCAGATAAGGTAAAATAAAGATAGAGTTAGCCATAGCCTGTCAACGTGTTTCCATCGTTTTGGTAAAAAAAAAATGATCGTCCATTTTGGTAGACGAGAATCTGAAAACTGCAGGCGTGGAATTGAACTGTACACACGATGAGAGATGATATGTTTAAATTAAAGTGAGCAAAATGCAAATAATCTATCTTTCTTCTCATGTCACTACTACTATATATATGTATGTCCATCCTCTGGCCTTTCCTCACACAATTAACTGATCACATATCCCAGTTTCATCCTAAACAATGAGATTTTGGGCATTGGCAGTTTCGTCTTTGTTCTTGTCCTATGTACTCCTTTGCAGTTGCCTGAGTAACAACTGCAATGGTGGTACTACTAACGGTGGAGTCGGTGATATTATAACGAAAGCATTGTTTGAAAAGATGCTTCCACATGCAAACACGGATAGTTGCCATGCCAAGGGCTTCTACACCTATGAGGCTTTCATAGCTGCTGCAAAGTCTTATCCAGCTTTTGCTACAACAGGCAGCGATGAGATTCGTAAAAGAGAAGTTGCTGCTTTCTTAGGCCAAACTTCCCACGAAACTACTGGTAATCTGTCTAATTTTTCACTGACAAATATCGGAAACAGTTGATTAGTATCATTTTTGACGAGTAATTTGATGATATGTGTAGGTGGAACTGGGTGGAAACCATCAGATGGTCCATATTATTGGGGATATTGCTATAATAAGGAACAAAACCCCCCTAAAGATTATTGTCAGCAAAGCACCAGGTACCCGTGTGCTGCTGGTCGAAATTATTGTGGTCGAGGTCCCATGCAACTTTCTTGGTACGTAACGTACTGCTTTCTGTGAAAATTAGACAAAAATCTGTTTTCACTGAGATTTCTGTAATGAGTTAAATTTAATACCTCAGGAACTATAACTACGGACAATATGGAGAAACCATAGGCCGAAAGAACGATCTTTTACAAGACCCTGACCAGCTAATAAAAAATGCTACAATGGCTTTCGAGGCTGCTCTCTGGTTTTGGATGACTCCACAATCGCCAAAGCCTTCTTGTCACGATGTGATGGTCGGAAATTGGCATGGTGACGGAGAGGGCCGGCTTCCGGGGTACGGTGAGATCACGAATATTATCAATGGTGGCATAGAATGTAACAAGGGTCAGATACCAGAGGGAGAGGATCGTATTGGGTATTACAAAAGATACTGTGAGATGCTTCGAGTTGGCTATGGCGAGAATCTTGACTGCTATCATCAGAAGTCCTATGCGATCGTACTCTTGGTGAACTCAATGTAACTTTATGTGTCAAATGATGGGGTTGTAAAAAAATAGGTGCTTTATGCATTGAAAATAAGAAAAGAGTACAACAGTGTTCTAGGCTACTTGACACTGTGTACTATGTTTAATCATGTGATGTTGTCGTGTTTAAAGTTCATGTAATGTAAGCTTATTAGCTGAAGATTAATGAAATCAATGCCTAATCCTTTATTAGCTACATTGATCATGGCTTGAATCACTTAAAGCTTCACTGTTTTTCTAGTTTGAGAACATTCCACGATATTAGTTTGGCAAGTTTCATAGGCTTTCATCATTTCTCAGTGTTATCCATCTCTTCTAATATATATTTTCTACTTAAATTCAAGTAAAATTTGATACTTAATTAGATAAAAAGAATTAAAGTGACAATACTTTATACTTGAAAGATAGCAAAGACCCAGTGAAAATACTATATACTTGAATGATTCAATATAAAATAGGGTAAAATTATTAATAAAATTTATGATATTTGATAAAGAATATTATTTAACATTATATTTTGTGATAGGTTTCGAATAATTTATCTTCTTTGCATGAAAAGGAAAAGAAAAAAAAGAAAGTACGAGGAATATAATCTAAATGAATAAAACTTATAATAAGTAATAGCTTACATGATAATCATGATTGAATAAACTATTATGCATACAACTGGACTGCATAAATTAAAGTGAACAGATTCAAGTTTCCGACTGAGAAAACAAAAGACTAGTAAATAAAATAAGGTAAATTTTGAAACCATGATAGTTTTTTTAAGGTATGGTTCGGTTTGTATTATTTGCTAACTAGGGGTGTTTAATAAGTTAGCAACTCGTGAGCTGTTCGAATTTGATTTAGTCAAAACTCGATTAATGCTCTGTCGAAATGACTTTTTTCTACTTCGGGATTTAAAAAAACATATTTTTTAATTATCTCTTTGATTAATTCTTAATTAAAGAGTAATGTGATTTTAAAAAATCTTTTGCTTCGAAAAATTTAGGATTTCCCTTTAAATAAAATAAAATACATGGTTCGAGGAGTCGCCACCAATATTTGATTAGGGTGTGATTGGGCACCCAAAAACGTATTTTGTCATTTTAATAAAAATATTAATTTTAATTAAAACAACAAATTTGAGGTCCGTGTTACTAAAATTCGAATTCGTGAGTTGGTTACGCGTGGGGAAAGATTACCACCCGTACAACGCCCTAAATTGGTACCTAGTCGATTAATTAATTGTCTTTGGAATGAAATTTCCAATTTCCAATTTAATTTAGTTAGAGATCCCTTAAAGCAAAACTTTATGAATTTTAAAATGAAACCCAATAATATTTAATTATTTCCTATCGAGAATAAACAACCCTTCATACCTTGAGGCAATCAATTCTTACTCCAATCGAAATAAAGGAATATTATGATTTCATTGTAATATTCAATTGCATGAAATTAAATAAATTTAATTAAAATTTACCAATCCTTTAGAAAGAAGAAGAATATTCGATTATTTAAAGACGTCGAGATCGGACCTTAGACAAATTCTAACGATCTTTTCTCGAAGAATTTAAATAAATAAAATTTTCTTTTTCTTTCGATCCCAATGACAACTTTCGTTTTGATGTCAAAATAAATTCATTCTTCTCAATTAATAAATAAAGGAAATATGTAGAAAAGATAAGTAAGGGTCGATCCTCAGAGACTTAGAAAATTCTAAATTTATGTTTGAATTACTTATACCAGGTGTTATGCAGTAGATAAAAAGGGGGTTTGGTAAAGATGATTAAATAATAAAAAACAATTTAAAGTAAAAATAAAGAAAATAAAGAATGTAACGTTTAAAATAAATATGGTAAAAATAGCTTTAAGCCTCGCTTTGACTCAATTTTCTTCCGGATCATCGAATTAGATTTTCCCTTCGGGATTTACGTCGGTTACTTTGTCTACAAGGGCAATCCTCGTGACTTTATTTTATAAACCGAATACCCAAGGCAATATTTGATTTTGTCTTTTAAAATTGATCTGATCAATATCAATTGTCGTAGATCAATTACCGTTTAAGTTCGTGAAGACCGACTCGGATTATTGTTTCAATAACTACTAATTCCGATCTCAATTCCCTCTTGCAAGTCTATCTCACCAAATGTGTTCCCAGGAAGTCGAATGTGCTTTCAATAAGTAGATCCTTCCTCCCACACATTTAATCGCAACAACATCTTGACCAAAGTCAATCTTTGATTTTGAAAACTGTTTTGATTTTGAAAAATAAGCGCTGAGATTGAGAGAGATATTCCGAAGTTATTAAGGTTCTTTTCAATTCTCACGTTAGAATTGAGTTATTGCTTCAGCTCTCGACTTATGAGAAAATTAGCTAAGCATGACAAAAGTCATGCTTAGCATATTTTAAAACAAAACTTAAAATAAAAGAAAAATTAAAACTTGAAAATTAAAAGGAGAACTTTTATAAAACTATAAAGGAGAAGAAGAAGATTGTAATATGAGTTGTGAGTTTAGGCTTACCCCAAAAGGGTATTTATAGCCTCTAAAAACCTAGAGATAAACCAAGAAATTAAAATAAAAATAATCCTAAAGATAATTCCAAATGTTTTCTAAATTCAAATTTAAAAATTTAAAAATAAGTCTCCTAATATAGCTCTGTCCGTCTATCTTCCAGAAGGCGTTGACTAGATATTCTAGAAAAATACCGCTGACTGGACCTTCTAGAACCTGCCACGTCAGACCGTGTCATGCCCATGTCTCCAGCAGTGACCAAATAATAAAAAAAATGCATAATGCACCCGTTTTACTACTAATTCTGGAAAGTAAGACCATGCACGAAAAATAAGCATAACACAACCAAATTAGCAACAATAAATTCATAAGATCAAAGAGTTAACGAGCAAATACTATCGATTCAGAACACTCATCAAATTCCCCCTCACTTATCTCATGTTGGTCCTCAAGTATGATATAATCAAATCAGTCAAAAATTCCATTAACCTTTCTTTGTCAAGTTTCACATTCAAGGAAGCAAGGTAGAGACCACAATAATTATTCAAGTTGAGATACCAATCAATTGAACATCACCAATTGGAATTAAATGCAATTGTAACATCCATTCATTCATCAATCTCAATGCTTATAGCTCAACACCTTACCGACATTCACTCAAATCTCTCAATGTGTTTGGGGTATAGAAACACTCAATGTCAGAACCGACATGATATTACCATAGACCTGCAAATGAATCAAATCTCCACTACTAATAAAAACAAGATGCATAAATCAAAGGGTCTTTTATTGGTTGTAACGAGGCTTAAGTAAAGGTGGTGAAAAGGCTAAATAATATGGCTAGAATTCAAGGCAAGAAACTAACAAATAACAAGTTCAACTCCATCAAAACATTAAATACAACAAGATAAAAAGACAAACCATTAAACAACAACTTTTCCTTTCGAAATGAATTGTTTTTTCCACATTTTTGTTTTTGTTTTGTATTCCACTTTTCTCATGTCTTTTCTTCATCTTTTTCGAACAATTTTTTTCTTTCTTTCAAATTGATGTTGTTTCTCTTTTTTTCATGGAGCATACATCAACTAACTGTTCACTTACCCTAAAAAGGGTAGAAAATAGTGATAAAATAAAAAAAACTCGGGTTTATGAATATGATGAAAAAAAGAATGAAAATAGGCCCAAGAGTGGTTAACTAGGGGAAAATGCATGGGTAGGCAATTTTAGTGGGGGAAATGGAATTGTTAATCCTAAAGTGCCCAAATCATTTTCAAGCATCATGTTAATGTATAATCTCGACAGTATTTAAAATACAGGTTCTAGAATACCAATGTCAAATTTAACACACTCAATCCAAAAAAATGAGAGCAAAATGATATGCTCGTAAAGACTCAAATCTCACCAAATTGTTTTCATACATTGAGCTAAACACATTTCAACCAAAAAAATCATGGAGTATCACAAGAAATCTAACTTGATCACAATTCATGTTATTCACTATCAAGAATATCCTAACCTAAACAATTATGTGTTCTCAAATAATCATGGCATTCAAAAAAAAAAATATTCAACAAGACAAAGGAATTCAATGAAATTTTTCGCAAATCCAATCAACACATACTATCATCAAAACATAGAGATAAACAAAGGAAAATTCAACCTAGACTCTACTCCCCCTCACTTAAAGTATTTTCCCCAAAACGTAAATGTAATACTCTAATTTTGTCCGGGAACTAAAGAAGGAACAAAGTGTAAGGACCAAACATATAATTGTACCTATTATAATTTTGGGCTTTTCCAAAAACAAATTTGAGCCACCTTCTGTAACTTGGAAAAACAATACAACCACCCACTATCATCTTACCACTACCCCACCACTAAAAAACTATCCCACCACTAAAAAACCAACTTACCATCTCTTTATTAATTCCTCTAAAATTTACGAATGGGGGAAAGCCACGAGGCTCGGTTATCTCTCTGCATCTTTCTCTTCCTTCCATGGTTTTTGAAGACTGTACCTGTGATGACGAGCTGTTTCCTCGTCACGATGCCACCAATAGAACCAAGGCTTTGAAACAGAAACTCGTAGCCACTGCATCGATCTTGATGGCCAGCGCTCTCGGCGTTTCGCTCCCGATTCTCTCCAAGAAGAACCCGACGTTTCGACTGAAAAACTATGTATTCTTCCTGATCAAAGCATTCGCTGTCGGTGTGATTCTCGCCACTGCCTTTGTCCATATACTCCCCGATGGATACGAGTCCTTGTCCAGCCCTTGCCTCAGCGAAAAGTCTTGGGGTATTTTCTCTTTCTCTGGTTTTCTCGCCATGGTTTTGGCCATAGCCACGATGATGATCGACACGTTCGCGATGAGTTTCTACAAGAAGTCGCATTTCAATAAGGCTTTGCCGGTGAATGGGGGGAGGACTTAAGCAGCTTCAAAGCATCGCTAAGAGGCCACGTAGTTATCTCTTATTTCCTCTGAGATTAGCAACTTGGAAAAGACATTGAAAGAGGATGAAAATGGACCTTCTCCTCCTGCTGTTCCACAAGTTCTAGTTCCTATTGCAACCTCAGCAAAGGCTCCAGTTAACCCAGCACTGAGTTACGTTACACTCGCCTCATTCAGCTGGGATCAAGATAACGATAAAGTTAAGAT